AGTTTAATTGTTATCTTGTCTTCAAGAGTTCATATTTCGCTGATCTGTGAACATCTTTGCAAAATGATATATTGTCCTAGAGGGTCAAACTTTGCATTTGAGTATTCTTTGGGTTTGTGTTGTGATCTGTAATTCGTGGAGGTGGAGTGTCGCTTATACTATCAATTTAACTACTACAGTACTATAATGCTCTAAAAGTCTATTTTTTAGTTCCGTCGGCATAATTCTCAAGCTCCATATGTCCAGTGGCGAATGGCACCTCCCATGAAGCAGCCTTTAGTGCCTGTTCAGAAGAAACACGGTGTGATCCGTAGAGCTAGTGAACGACGTCCCATGGCACCAGCTCGTGCTCTTGCGGAGTTTGTCCAGTAAATGCTCTGGCAATTTCCCTGATGTCTGGTATAAATCATTTCAGTTACAAATATGTAATTCCCAGAATTCACTACCGTCGCTCTTGTTTTGTCTCTTTTCCTGTTCTTTTCCAAAATTTTAGATAAAATTTTAAAAAATGCTCTTTAAAATGCGAATTTATGTGCGGAAGAATATGTCAGTATACCATTTTAGCTTCAATTTTCATAGTCGAGCTCACTTGGTTCGTTACATTATAGTTTCAAAATTTTTCTTCATTGGATGACTGAATTTTTCAGATTTGCTTTTCTGATGAACAGTTTTCACAAATAATTCATTTATAGTAGTGATTCGTCAACCAGAAACCCTTTTTATCTTTGTTTGTTTTTCGAAATCATGCAAGGCCGAGCAATGAACTAACATAGTCTGGTATTATCTCGCAATGATGACTATATATATCGTGTAATAATATTCTTGCTTTCTCTAAATTAACGTTCCATCATCAATAAGTGGTTGTATAATTATTTGCCATCGATACCGTTGCCTTCTTCACTTACAGTAGCGTTTCGCACTACTTAATACATATGCATTGATTACATGTTTCGCATTTGAGATGCTATACACAAATAAACAGGTGAATAAAGATATTAATAATTTTACTTGCTATTGTCAGAGCTTTTCGGCTTTTTTACATTCGGTCTGTAACATGATTCTTCTACACGTGTTTGAGTTTTGATCGTTTGAAGTGCATTTTTTGGGTAAATTTTTGTAGTTAAAATTTGAGAATTGTATAGAGACTGAAATCAGCTAGCATGAAAAAATTCAAAATATCCGTTCAGCTAACGAATGTATCTAAATGTATTTGGACGAGTGCTTATTGGTATATGAATGCGTGTGGCCGAAAAAACATAACTTCGTACGTAACCGTGTTGATCAGGAAGTAGAAAGCAATGTAAAGATTTTCATCGTGGGCCATGAATTTCAAACTATGTAGTCGAACTTCCAAGTTCTGACGAAGGTGAAAGCGCAAAAACCGTGGGCGTTAGTAGAACAAAGTTTACAATATCTAGATGTTTGCTGGTGGAACGGACTTGGGAGATTAAAACGTACAGAACGTAAAGAGCTAGGAAGTTTTGTAAAAAACTTTTTTACAGGATGAATTTATCTTTTGCGTTGATGTTATTTTTGGAAAAAAGAGAAGTGATTAGTGTCAAACGTATATAAAGAAGATAGCATAGTAGGATTGGTGCTAAGCACTCGACTAAGAAGTTCATAATAAGTAATACAAAGTCCGTCGCCGGCTGTCCTCTAGTGAGTGTTGAAGACGAGAAAGATTCAATACGATTGGATTTTTTCACATGGTGATTTAAGACGAAAATCAAAAAAAAGAAGAAGAAAAGA